GGACCCTGTGAGGTGGGAAGGTCCCAGAGCTCAGGCTGCAGCCCAAGCCCATAAGGTTATACTGCAATTAAACAGTCCTGCAGTCCGAGCCCTAAGAGCCTGAGTCAATGCACATGGACCAGCTGCAGATTTTTTATTACTATGTAGACATACCCTTAGGCTCATTCCCACAGCCACCTCTCCCCTTCCTACCGCTGCTCTCCCCTGCCCTGATCACTTTTTTTTATATATTTGTAAGTGTAATATTTAAAATTATACATGCTGATTTTTTCCTTAAAAAAGAAAAACAGACTGCGATTCTGCAATTTTGCATCCCCACTGAGCCAGCCGGGCTCCACACATGCAACAATCTGCAGGAATGCAGCCTCAATTTATAAGCATGTTAAAAATAGATGGGGCTAGAGAGAACCAGGGCATAAGTGTGGGCTGGGGGTCAGCCCTGCCTGCTTTGCACTCCTTTGCTATGATGCCTACACACAAAAACTGTCAACATGTAGGCAGCCGGTGTGCTGACAGCACTACAGATCATGCTGTGGTCAGTATTGTCTCATTGTTTCCTTGTGCGCCCCCATCTGTCTATATCAGTGGTTCCCAAAATGGGGTTTGTGAACCCCTGGGGGTCCGCGGAATGTTACAGAGGGTTCTCGGGAAAAAATTCCCTAATGGCAGACAGAGCTGTCCCTAGGAACTCCAGGCAGCATGGGGTCAGCAGCCCGGAGCCCCTGGACTTCCAAGAGCTAAGCAGTTCAAAGCAAACATATCTAACACACTGAGGAGATTTATATAAGAAATGGAGATGGAGGTGGATATTTTTTGCTGTTTTTAAACTAAATAGGCAGCTAGTATTGTTTTTAAAATTATTATGAAGAACAAGTTTAAGCTTTGTTTTAACGTGTGGTGCTTTCCTGGACGACTCAAGACCTGGATGCTTGTGTAGGAGGAACTCTTTGAGTTGGCTTCTTAAATACCTTCATGCTGTTTCACCTCTGATACTCCTTGATGAAACATAGGAGCCTTGTCTTATAACAGGCTTATTCAAAGTGATACAAGCTACAAAAGTGAGATCTTGGAAGAGTGTTGCCATTTTCATACTGTAATAAAAATACTGTAATGATAATAATAATTAATTATAATTAATAATAGTAAAAAGAACAGGAGTACTTGTGGCACCTTAGAGACTAACACTGTTCTTTTTGCGGATACAGACTAACACAGCTGCTACTCTGAAACCAATTAATAATAGT